AAAACCGGAAGTGGCGCTGTAGCTCAAGTGGTAGAGCGCTTGCCTTGAGCTGAAGAGCTGAGGGACAGCGCCCAGGCCCAGAGTTCAAGCCCCACGGCCGACAAAAAAAAAAAAAAAATATCCCTTCTCTTAGTAATGGAATCATCGCCTTCATGGCCTTTTAATGACAAAGGCATAATCAAAAGCAAGATATGGCTGGGAAGGTGGCTCAGTGGTAGAGTGCTTGCCTCGTATGCATGAGGCCCTGGGTTCAATTCCTCAGCAACACGTGAGCGGAAAAAAGCCGAAAGTGATGCTGTGGCTCAAATGGTAGAGCACTAGCCTTGAGCTGAAGAGCTGAGGGATAACGCCCAGGCCGAGTTCAGGCCCCATGACCAACAAAAAAAAGAAAAGAGGGAAAAAAAAAAGCAAGTTATAATTTCCTTAAATATTGATATTTTAGATGCCTCACTGGATGCAGTAAAGTCTCTTTTTGAGACTCAGCTACTTTATATATCTTACTTATTAAAAATAAAACCAAAGCCCAGAAGGTATAGCAAGGTCCTTTAGTCAAAATAAGGTTCATGTGCTCAAGATGTTTTGCTTCTACCTTTTATCAAGTCTATTCATTTTCTTATACCAGTTGTGACAAAATCTGCAAGTCCACATAAGATGAAAAGCAACAACTAGAAGTAGAGCTGTGAAGCTAGCCTTAAACAAAAAGCTCAAGGCTTTGAGTTCAAGCCTCAGGACTGGCGTGTGTGCATGTATGTGTGTACACACACACACACAAAGAAAAAAAAAGAAAAGCAACAACTGGCAGAAGCAACATATATATAAGCAACTATAATATTTGCAAATAGTAGCAAAATGCAGAATCTGACTCTTAATACACAGGAAAGTCTAAGGAAAACTATGAAACTTGATCCTAGCTGGGAATATGGCTTAGTGGTAGAGTGCTTGCCTAGCATACACGAAGCCCTGTGTTCAATTCCTCAGTACCTCATACATGTGGCACTGTGACTCAAGTGGTAGAGTGCTAGCCTTGAGCAAAAGAATCTCAGGGACAGCACTCAGGCCCTGAGTTCAAGCCCCAGGACTGGCAAAAAACAAAAGAAGATCCTTCTGAGCTAATTACTATTCTAAGAATTATCATTCCTGTACTTGGGAGAAGGAAGATCAAGGGTTCAAGGCCAGCCCAGGCTGGCCTTAAAACTACTAAAGTTTTAAGCAAAAATAGGTTCAGAAAGTGCAAAACAAGGTATTTTTTAAAGAGGCATACTTACTGTACATGTTCTTTGACCCCCCCTCCAGTTTATTACTGCTGAGATTATTCCTTAACAAAAAAAATGCTTTCAAAGAACATTTTTGCAAAGCCCATTTGCTAGATCTCAAAGGATCTATATCAGAGAAATCTCAAACCTAGCAAGAGGCTTTTTCTAAAAAAAAGCACAAGAAAAACACAATGGTGGCCAACCTATTTTAGATAATGATGGAAAACGACAGCTGATAGCCAGTTTAGGACAAATGCCAACTGTTCCCATTTGTCTGAAAATGCTAAAACTACTACTGTAACACTCATTTTTCAAAAGAAAACAGTATGTGAAGCAAGCATATCAACCAAAATACTGAGATACTGGTGCCTCATTTATCTGTAATATTAAGTTTCAATGTTCCAAAGTATAAGTAAACACACCTCAACAGTTTAAAATATTTTCATGTTTTATTTTTTTAAACATTTGTGATTTTGCAAGCTAGCAGTAAAATATTGCCCTCAATATTTTACTAATTAGCACCGTATGCCTTTTAAAGCTAACTGGAACATTGTTTCACTGTAAATGATTGTAAAACAAAGATGATCATTTCAAATGTCTAATCATATGATCAGTTATGAATTAAATCACTATCTTTGGCTCTATGTAAGATGTTTTTCAAAGATGAACTATAATAGTATCAGTTTGTCAATCTAGCTAGTCAAAGTATTATAAAGTAATATTTGATCTCTGAAATTATTGTGTGGAAATTGAGAAACCATTGATAAAGATGAAAGATATTCTATAACTGAGTTTTGAAGCAGACCCTTATATTTTTAGAAGAATGAGTAACTCAATGGACAATTCCCTTGGTGCAAGTATCAGTTATACATATGGTTCAGTGTATGCATTTACAAGCATTCTCATGCTTTGCTTATTAGAGTGGCCTTATCAAAATGTCCAGGACAACTCAGAGACAGCTGGAAGCCTGAAATAAAATTGCTCAATGCAAAAAAAAAAATCGCATCATATATATTTTTTTCAATACAAGCCTAGACCTAGACATATAACTCTTCTTTTTAATGTTCTTACCCGAACAATCTTCCTAAAGTATAGTATACTTCCACATATTTAAAAAAAATAAACGACATTTTTTTCATTTCCCATTTTCTGGTAAAGGAGTTCTTCAGAGCTCTGGGGTTAAAATTCTGACCCACGATTGAGTGTGCTTACTAGCATGTCTTTTTTGCATACCAGTAGAATCAAGTCCAGTTTTGCCATTTGTGGATAACTATGACAAGATACAAAAGCATGTGTTTGCCATAAATAGCTCTGGCTAACAGCAAACAGCTCACACTGAGATCAAAATCTCTATAAGGAGAGCAATCTGGACCACAGCCAAATCCCACTAGGAATGGTTAAGGATGCAACACCAATTCCTTTTCCCAATTCAATTTGAAAAATATATGAAGAGATAGTATCTGAACTACACATTCCTCAACATCAGAATTATTAAACTTTGAAGGACATTTTACAAATTACTTCCATTATGACCAAATAAGCAATAAAAACATCCTGCTTTTATAACTATTTGGAAATGTAAATGTAAATTAAAAAAACTTATCCTAACTTACCTAGAGAACAAATGAGATAGTAAAGAATATATTTTTTAAAAAAGTGTCAAAATGAAAAAAAAAAAAACAAAAAACCTCCAAACACATAAGGAAATAACCATGTTTTATAAAAGTGTCACTCTAATGATGGTATTCCTCTATTAAGAGACTTTAGGATAGAGCATTTTTAATCCAAAGAAATCTTGTAACTCTAGAAAATATCATGCATTAATGAATGTTGTACAAAAAAAAATTCTCAAGTGACTAGTGCAGAGATTAGCTGTTTAACCTAAAAGTTGTTTCACAAAAATTCCAAGGAAAACAAGGCAACCTTCTGTAATATGCCACCATTTTTATTGCCACGTGGCCATTTTTGTGAGGGTGGGGATCTGATCTTAAAACAATGTTCCATTTAAGGCTCTTTAATACAGAAATTGCCATCATGACTGATATTCAAAATATCCCATAGTGTTGCAAGACTCACTTGGTAAACATAAAACCCTTACACTTAATTCAGTAGTGTACGCTCAATGGAAAACAAAAGTCATTAATAACAGCTCTCACTTAAAAAGCTATGCAGGTAACAGGAATGAACACTGAGGTACTAGGATAAATTGATGACACAGTAAATGAACTTAATTGGCATTCCTTTTAGGGGATTCAACTCAATACAAAAAAGTGCTTTTAACGCGTAGTGTTATGTCTGTGCTGCCATGTCACAAAAATAGGCTGGCCAAGGCAGGCGAGGTGTATGAATGCTCCAGCGCCTCACAGAACTGCAATCAAGTGCAACTATAAATAATACTGAAAAGTTTACCATCTGACCAGTGGATAATACTTTCAAGGCATTTACTTTGCTTACCCTTTGCAGTATTCCAAGCTATTCACATTGACAATCACATTCACTGTAGTGCTGGCTGCAAGAGAGGCATAGAACCATTTGTTTTGGCTAAAATAAGTCAAAGGCATTCCTTGGGTTCTGCATAAAAGTGACTGTATTCCACAGTCTAATGGCAATCACTGACAGGCTGCTTAAATGAATGATTTCTCCTTCATTCATTGTGTTGCAAGGGCCCAGTGGAAAAGGGAAAAAACAAAACACAAAACCTAATACTATTCCAATGGACTGAGCTGGAGAAACGAAAGCCCCTTAAGATCCAGATGGCACTTGACTATCATTTTACAATGGTTTTCCTTCAAGTGAAACTACTACATTGCCTCCCAATTTCTCTCCAAGTGTTGAACGGTCCTTAATATCATCCAAACCATTTACTTGCCACTCATGTTTAATACCTAAAAAGGAAAAAAAAAAAAAAAAGAATTCCATTACCAGCAGATAATTAGGAAGGGGTAATTTCTCTGCACAAAATACTCAATGGCTGTACCTGTAAATTTCTTTTTAATGGCATCTTTAGAGCTAGCATAAATCATCTTGCTTTTTAACGGTGCACTTTCAGGAGCCCTATAGGGGAAAAAAAAAAGTTGAATCTCATTTATATGAAAAAACAAAAGCCAAACTGACTATGATAATAATAATCCTTGCATTATTTCTTCTTTTGTTTTTACACACCAGAATATAAATACTAGGTCTTCTTTCTTAGACTCTTTTGTTTCGTATGTGGCATCGTACAAAGCATATCGGCAATCATTCAGAGGTAGCAACTTCACAAAGGATGTGTAGGGGTCCTCTACAGTCTCACCAATGTCACCCACCAAGATCTGCTTCGCTTCCTCTACAATGATTTGTCTTTTGTCATCACTTAAACAGAAGAGAACTGCTTTCTTTCTTTTCTTGATCTCCTCTTGTGTGGAAGATTTCCTTACTTTCATATCATTAAAAACTTTGATGACTTCGTCATTCACTGTAACTCCAGATGCCTGGGGAAAAAAATCAACAACAAATAGTCATTGAGAACAAGTCCTTTGATTTTAACCAAAATTCCTATTTGCTGAGAGACCATTAAGAATGGCACCAGACTATGCATGGAATCCAAACTCATATGCCACATTTTCAAGTATTTGCCTAGGGATCCTAATTCAAATTGCCCATTCATGCCTCTTAAAGGGGCACCGGGAAAGATACCAACGGAATGGGGAGAGGAAGGGACGGATACAACTTGTCCCATCCCCGAGATGTTTCCTATTTCACGGGGTGATGTCAGAGCTTCAGGAGCAGCAGCACGAATACCTTCTGTATTGTGTCAACTCTGTGGGCCTTAACAAAAACAAAACAAGACCCACTTTGGGATTTCAGGTAACGCTTCGACTTTTTCCTCTTCTTTTCCTTTCTTTCTTCCAAGCCATCCTATCCATAACTGTTTCCTCATAAGGAAACTCCAATCGCCTACGTCTACAACACGATCACCCGGGTTCCAGCTCCCAAGCAAGTCAGTCACTTTCAAACTAACGGGCCCGGGTGTGTAAGAAGCGCTTTTCACCGCGGATCGGAAGAGTTTGGAGATCGCCAACTCTCCGGGGTGAGGTTGGATGGCCGCCCAGCGAGACCCTCAGCTCACCCGAAGCCGCCCGAGCACGCCGGGGCGCGCGCGTCGGAAAGCACCGGGAAGCGAAGGGCAAAGGCGGCGCGAGCCCCGGCCGGCCCC